TGGACTAATGAACTGTGAACATCAGTCTCCGTGACTCTGAGACCAGAGATAGTGCCTGGCTATCACTACCAACTACACCAAAGGGATCACATTAGATCACATAGAATGGGTGGAAACATGCAAATCAAAACTCTAACCACAAGCAACAACAACAACAAAACGCAGGCCTACTGACTGGAGAGAGACTGATGGCGTCCAGTCACCCTTCAGGTCTGGAAATGAAGTCACCTCCATGGTTCAAGTTTCAACCAAAACAACAGCTAGTTCTTAAGAGGAACAATGAAACCAGTGAAGTACATGCAGAGTAGAATAATCAGCCACTCCAGGTCACAAGGGCGGCTATCGCCAAGGACAAGGGAAACAGAGTTCAGGAAGTAGAACAGATAATGCTACATTATAGAGATCACAATGAATGAGATGAAACAAAAATGTATAAATTGTTGACTGAAAACCTCAATGAACCTTTACCCACTTCACTATAAAGTGTTAAAGAAAATCTGTAGCCATATATAAATATAAATATATATACATATATACGTACTTGTGGCTGAGAATTAGAATTATATGCAGGTAATATGATTTGACAGTATTTTGAAAACCTCTTGAAAGATGGCAGTGGTGGAATTCTGTCCCAATGATCCTTAGATAACTCCACAGTGGAAGGATGTCAACGCACCTGAACTACTCCTAGGTTCATCATCCATGGAACTGCCCAAATGCTCCTTTCTAACCTGAACGAGCCCCAATCAAAAGTACATTGCTACATGGACCAGAATTGTCACAGGATTGCATTTGAAATATAATTAAGTTGTTTGTTTTTTCTAATTAAGAATAAGAGAAGCCTCTTATACATGGCCAGCCCCATCACAAGACATGACGACCCCCACTGACATAGAGCGCTGAGGGGGTGGCACTGGGGACACGGTGTGGGAGATGTGCCTGATCCAACCCGGTCACCCCAGGATGAACACAGAGGGAGCGCAAAGCAATGAAGTCCTAGAGGAATGTCAAAGGTGGACTCTGGGGTCAGTGTGTGGCAGCCCAGCATAAAGATCAATGGACAGACCTGTAACTGCTTGGGAGCTTTTCAAGTTTTGCTGTTGGTTTTTCTTTTTTCTTTATTTTTCTGTTCTGTTGTATTAGCTGTTGTCAATTTAATTTTTGTCCTTTTTTTTGTTGTTTTGCTCTGCTTTGTTTCTGTGTGTATTATTGTCTAAGCATGTCTATCTGGACAAGACAGGTGGGATGAACAATCCGAGGGAAAGAACAAGGGGACTAACGGTTCTTGGGGAACCCAAGAGAGGGGGAAATGGTTGAAAAAGAAGGGAGTGCCAACACACCTAGGGACAAAGGAAGAATGAGTGATCTAGGGGGGAATAGGATGCTTTGGGGGAGGGGCGGGAACCGATCAAGGGCAATGTAGCCATCAGG